CTACGTGCCCAGCGGCGAGAGCGGCCTCCCGCTGCCGCGGCCCTACGGCGCCCTGGCCCCCTTCAAGCCCAGCGAGCCCGGCTCCAACATGCGGCACATCAGGAAACCCGTGGTGAAGCCCATCGAGATCTGAAGAGCTCCACGGAACCCCAGGGAGGCTGTCACCACTGCCAACCTCAAGCCAGGAGCTTTTAAACTGCTCCGGACAAGGAAGGTCCATCAGGGTCTTGCCAAATCCCATCCTGGCAACAGGCAGCTGCTCATGCCCGCACGATCAGACATACAAGTTCCAGTGCAGTATTTAAAATGTTAACAAAAATGAGCAATTATCATACTAGACTTCTTTTCCAAGCGAAGTTTATTGTATCTGACTATATTTTACAATACTTTCCATTAAAAGGAAAAAAAGCCGAAAAACCTTCTCTTGTAGTAACTCTTCTCTTGTAGCAATTCAATACAGCTGACCACAGCCCCAGCCCCTTGTACAGCTGGACCAGCAGGGCCTCCTGTACACGGGCACTGAAGTCCAAGCTGGCCCAACCAGTTCTCACTATAATGTGAGAATTTCCCTCCTCTCTGGGTAGTTGGTACGAGAGCTAAAACTCTTGCTCCTCTGATGCCAGTGACAGGGGAATGATCGTGCACTTGCTGGGAAAGGCAAAACAATGTGCACTGGACACGGAGTTCCCGAGACCTGGATCCTTCTACCTCACTGGCAACAGGAGGCGTCAGAGCGGGAACTACCCGGACAGGGTGACACACGTTGGACCTGAAGCCACAACTTGAGAGAATGAAAAAAATGGTTCAATCCTGTACAAATACAAGTGGAAAATGAGGGGGGAGGGGGGAACAAAACAAAACAAACACCTGCACCGATTGCTTTTTGAAAGAGAGATTTGACCTGTAACACTAAAACTTGTAAGGAAAGAAATAAATAAAACTCCATTGCTTACAATTTTATACATATCTAAAACAAAACAAACAAAAAACTGTGACAGGCACTTACAGAAGATGATATTTTGTGCTGCTTATAAAACAAATACACTAGAGCACAATCCCAAAGGCAGAGGCCCTGTAGTAACCATGATCTCCACAAGGAATGAAACATCATTAGTGATCCACTGCCCACAAAAACAGACTCCTCCCCTGTTACTTATTTCACACAGTCGTACCAAGAACACCTTTCATTAATCCAACCAGGCAAACAGCTGCCAGTCCCTGTTACTTCACAAGACAACCTGACCACCTTTCTCAGGATTGGCCTGCTTGTGGAGTCAGTTAACAAGTCTAATAGCAATTTTCACAGCCTGTTTTAATACCTCCCATGGCTCCCTGCGACCACTTCACAGGATAAGCGGAGCCATGGATGGCAGGATTCCATAGGAATCCCGGCTGCACATCAGATGCATTTCTCTCGGATTTATCTACAAGTCAGCAACTTCAGTCATTTCTGAATGCACTGCACTAAGTGCTATACTGAGTAGCTTTCTACTCAGAATGGCTACTCCAATGTGAAGGTTATTTTGAAAACAACATTACATTTAAGTTAAAAAAACGTTTCGTGGTTGGGAAACAGTGCTTCTATACAAGCTGCAGAGGGAAACTGTCTGATTTAGGAATACTTGAGGCCCAGGAGCATCACGGTGTGTCTCAGCGCCGTCTCCTCCACAAATCGGAGATTCACTCGATCTTGCTTCTCGCACGGCTGCAGACCTGGAGAAGCAGCACGAGAAAGTCAGCACCTACAACAGCAGGAGCTCTCCTCGCAGTCTGCTGAACACCTTCCCCCAGGACGCCGAGGGCTAAGGCGTTACATGGAACTGCCTGCACTTATCCAAAGCACCTACAGCTTCCGATCAGTCCTTTGGGTGCTCAGCAGAGGCTTAAAGCTTTCAAAGGTGATCTCTAGCTGCAAAGTCTTTCCCTGGGGCCACTGTGGTTTGGAGGAAAGCTCTGGGGAAACTTTCCAGACAGCCCCATGGACAATGCTGTTGTAGCTCTCAAGCCCATCCCTCAATGTGATGTTGTTTGGTTACACAGACACAGCCAGCCAGGACAGGCAGCATCTCTCTAGGTAGCAGCTCTTGCAGCTCCGTGGGGAGCTGGGCATCTCCCACAAGGACCGACACGCAGAGCAGCCCAAAGGAAGCCCAGAGAAGGCAGCCTCACTCGCTCACATGCACTCAGGTTGGGGATGCTTTCCTAAACACAGGGCCTCTATCCCAGAGATGGGCTGGCAGGCTTATTTTAAAGGAAACCAGGTGCTCTTTTCCCTCTTGTCACAACTAAGCAGAAAAATATGTTAAAATAAACTGGGCCAGAATGAGCAAACAGCAAAATGGAACGAGGTGTGTGCTGAAAATGCCACTTTAGCAAGGGGACTCAACGCAGAGGATTCTGGAGAAGGGGTGTCCACTGAGTTAAGTTCTCAGACAATCCCCAGCACCAGAAAGAGACCCGAACCCACACAGCCAGACATGAGCAGAGCTGTGGAGCACACTGTTACCAACACACTCAAGATATGACCAAACATGACAGTCAGAACGCAGCAACCACCCGCCTGACAAAGGACAGAATCAGCATTACCTTGGTTCTCGATCTCTGCCAGAGTATTAGTCAGGTAATTAAGTGGCAAAAACTCTACGGGGACCGAGGGTCTCTCGGGCACAGGACCGGGATGCTGTAAAGGAGAACAGGTCGAGTTAGCCCAGGTTGCACAGCAGCAAGTGAAACGTTTGGTGCATTATGGTCTGCAGCAAGGTTAGGAGCATCAGTGCTGTCAAAGCTAAACACAATATTCTCTCACCTGTCTCTTCCCCAGCTTCTCGAGTAAGAGTTTCACGTATTTCCGTGCCAGGAAATTAGCATTTATGGGGTGATTCCAAAGCTGGTGGACTTTTTGACCAAGAGCCTAGTAAGTATTTAAAAATAAAAAAAAATCCTGAGAACAAGGGCAGATGACAGTGGGAGACGGATAAATAAAGGAAAAATGTAAATAAAAAAGAAACACACCCAAAAGCAATGAGCACAAAAATATCTGACTGGTCAATTTCCACCCCTTCCCACCACAAAAACATCTTGTATTTTTTCGGGAAAAAAAAGGGGGGGGAGGAAGAAAAGGAAGGGCCATAACAGACTTTTCAGACACTGTTGATAAAAGCTAAAGGGTCATAATTTCTAGCCATGGGGCTGTGCCATAATAGACAGTAGCCAAGAGATTGGAATAGGCTCCACTGGAATACAGGAAGCAAAGAATCCATGCTACTCAGTTCCCAAGTAACCCTGTAGTTTCTAGTGATGAGTCTGTCCCATTTGCTCTGTTCCCCTCTGTATGAACTGAGGCTCAAACGACGGTTTATCCTTCACGAGACTCCAGCTTGGCTTCCTCCTGCTCCTCCTCACAGGAACAGGACCCCAGTGATGGGAACATAATCCCAGCCCATTGCTTAGGGCATTGGCCGGGGAGCTGGTTACACTGATTCATATTTTCTTAAGCAAAAAAAAAAGCAGAGATTCAAACTCTGCCTCCGAGCTTCCTATCCTAACCACAAGCAATCAAATTTGAGCACGCTGTGAAATTCCCTCCTGCTCCCTTCCTCATCTAGTGTTTGCTCCCTCCCTTGCAGCCTAAGGAAACACAGCCTACTGAAAGAGCCCATTTAGGGGCCGCTGAACAGCTTCACTGTAGCTGAATGCTTGGGTTTGATTCAGCTGAAGCCATCCAGCAAGCGTAACCTGAACTTAAAATAGTCCAAGTCACCCCAGAGCGCCCTTTTAGGCAAACCAACCACCCTCTGTGTTTCTTTTTCCCCAAAACCCCCACGCGGATCCAGCGAGGCCCTGAGGCCGCTGTGGAGGCAGCAGTGGTGTCCCCTGAGCTCCTCCCCTCACGCCAGGGCGCAGCGGCCCCAGGGCCCCCTCACGCGGCCCCACACTGACCTCCCAACCCCAGCACTGAACGGGAGGGAACAGAGAGCGTTTTGTGGCCTCCTCCTTGCCGAGCCCTTGGTAAAACTGCTCCCAATAAAGCGGCTCTGTTGGGAGGCAGGCGGAGCGGCGCTTGGGCCATCGGAGCCGCGTGTGACAGGCCACGCAGAGCAAGCAACAGGCAGCCTGCGCCGAGCAGGGCCCTCCCGCGCGCGCTGCCAGGAGAACCCCGGTGTCCTCTACCCACTGAGAGAATACAAACAAAAAAGAAAAGATCCCATCAACTTCCTTTAAACCCTATGGAACCTTCAGTGCTTTACGCAGGTGCAGCAGCAGAGCAGGGTCGGTTTGGCCTCTTAAACCTGGAGTGACTGGAAAGCTCTAGGGACCGACCTACAGTTTGAGATGCCAGAGAACCCTACAGGGTACGAGCAGCATACGGAGAAACTGCAGAAAATTTCAGCTACACCCATCTGAATCCCAGCAAAGCCTTCCACCAGCTTGATCCTGTGCACAAGGAGGAATTGCACATCCATTCCAAAATCCAAGCAGTGACATCCAAAGTTACCTCAGGAAGCCTTGTGATAATGCTCAACTTAAGCCTTTCATTCTTCTCAGTGTTGTCCAGATCTACAAGAGAGAAAACAAACCAAACAAACCCTTTCATGGTAACCACGTAACTAGAACTTCCAACTTTCACTGAAGACATTTCAAATAAGATTTCTCTCTAATGAAATAAAACTTTAGTTTAAAATAAGGCCTAATAATAGGAGTGCTCTTTATATTTATATAGTTTATATAAATATATTTATTTGTACATAACTTCATTTTGGGTAACAATTTGCAGAGCAGCTGAAACATTCTCACTAGGTAGAATTCCCCATATTTACAATATTTCATATACCAAAAAAAATGCTCCCAGATTGATCCAGTGCATTGCTCCCCATTTCCTGCACCCTGCAGACTCGGCACATCACAAGGAAACATTGCAACTGCAACAAGATGCTGAGCTGCCAGAGCGAAGCCACCCTGCAGCATTGCTGTAACCAGGAACATGTTTGGATAAACTTAAGCTACAGCTCCCTCCTCTTCCTCTCCAGTTTGAAAAATGGCAATTGAGCTGGGTGTGATCACAGCTGCGTGTGACACTGCCAAGTTCTGGCACTCTCTTGTTTGTTCCAAAGCCCTCGGTCCTGTTGCTCCCCACTCTGCGTGGGCTGTTGGCTCCTTTCCTGCTCAGAGGAAACCCACACACAGACAGGACCAGCTCTGGAGCATTGGATCGGTCCTTTGGAACCAATTTTGGCTCCCCCTTTTGCTAACATTAAAGTGTGCTCAGAAGCCATTTGTTCTTTGACAGACCTCCATATTCTACTGGGTGAGATTTGTTTGCTTATTTCAAATTATTCTTTCCTACACAGAATTTCTAGCCCTTTGCAAATCCCAACACCAAGCTTATCTTGCCCAAATATAATAAAATCGAAGCCAAAGCACTGGATAGCAAACTGATTTCCTTACATAGATGTGTGTTTTTGTAATGACTATTCCACCTCCCCCCAAGGTTTTGCAGTGACCACCAGCATTCATTTTTCTAAGAAGTGGCAAATAGAACAAATGACTAGCTGAAAGCAATGAGGGTCTCTCAGAGTCTCTGCCCTCATTTGCTCCTTGCAGCTGGGCAACACTGCCAATTGCCCCCTTTATGGAGCAGCACTCTGGGAGAGCACCTGAGCCTCCTGGGCTCTTGTGCCCACATGCTGGGTGGACATCCCTGCCCTGGCAGCTGAACACACAAAACTCGCTGCACCTTCCAGCAGTTTCCTGACACACGTTTCAGTCAGCTGCAAGACTCCGTTATCAATGTAGTGCAGGAGGGTGTGCAGAGGGAGGCATCGAACACCAAGCCCCAGGTGCAGAGTGTGAAAACCTACGAGAAAGAGACACACTTGGTCAGTGCACCATTAATACTTTCCTAAGCACACAGGAAGTGAGGAAAAACAGCTTATCCAAAGCTACAGAGCCTTGTTTCAACACCCCTTACTTTCCCTCAGCTACATCCGTGTCAGAAAGAGGAAGCCAAGGGGATTGAAAAGCAGACTGCACAGCCAAGCACCTTCAAGCTTCCAGCTTGTATCCAAACTGTGCCATTAATTTGTGTTTTATTTCTCTTTCTACCAAAACAACAAAGGTCTCAGCATGCTCTCTAAGAGGCTGCCATCCACATGCTTGGCCAGGCAACAGGCACCAAGACTTCAGTTTCCCACTTAACTCAGCCAGATGATGGTCTGGCATCAAATGAAGCCACCACTCTGCAACATTTGTCCACACAAAATGAAAGTCTGCAGCACAGACTGACCCGAAACAGTCTGAGATTGAAGATAGATCAAAAAAGGTAAATCAGAGAAGGATTCAAAGGCAGAACCAGAGTGGACTCTATTTTATGTTTTTGACCAAGCTCCGAAGCGCCTCAGGGCGTCTCTGCCCGCCTGTATTTCCAGGCAGGCCTTGGTGCCACAGGGACCAGCCTCTCTGCAGGCAGGCCCAAAGCAAGTCACACCTTGAGCTATTACCTGGATTAATAATTAGTCCAAATCTACAGAGATTGGCTGTAAATCCCCATCTGCTTTGACAAATTAAGTCACAGAAAAACTAGATATCCAATGTTAAGTCATCTTTCCCTTTACAAAAAAAAAAAAGAAAAAAGAAAAAAAGAAGAAAAAAAAAAGGCCATCTTGATCAACTCTTCTATCTAAGGTGGGGACAATCCTTTCAGGACAAAATTAAGAAAATACTAGCAGGAGAGTATTATTCCTCGTAGCCCTTGACTCTGAAGCCCAGTTGCTTAAGAAAAAGAAATAGAAAAGAAATAGAAGTCTACACTTCAGTTCTGAGCTAAGGCTGTGCCCAAGCCCTCCGCTGCAGTGTGGAAACACAGAACCCAACCCCCAACTTGCTGCCTCTGCAGCCCTGTGCTTTGCTGCACTGTCTCTGGAGGACCTTCCCCTCCATAACCGCGTTGAGCAGATCCCAGCAATTCCCGGGCTGACCTGACCCACGCGCTGCTGCTCCTGCCTTGCTGGGCGGAATTCAGAGCTGTTTGAATCCACGTGTGGGGAGGGCAAACACCCCTGCCCCGGGGCTCACCTGGAGGTAAAGGCAGGCACAGGCCATTGGCAGCACTCATGATGTGGAACACGGCAACCTCGGCGGCCCCTCCTCGCTGATCGCTGCGTGTGACAGAGCAGCAACACATCAGCCCCCCGAGAGCCCCTGCCCCGGGGGCAGCCCCCCAAGACGCCCCTGCCCCGGGGGCAGCTCCCCCGAGACGCTGGGCAGGGGTGTTTGTCACCCCAGGCAGCAGCTCTGCCGCCCAGCAGCACTGCTGCTCTCCAAATGGGGCTTTACAAAGTCTTCGTGGTGGCTCCTTTCCCAGCTCCCACATATTTACAAGTCTCAGTGATAGCTGGTAATTACATTACCAGGCTGGGATGTGCTGAGTGCTGCTGTGACTTGCTTTCCATAGATGTTAGACACCTGTTACCTAGGTTGAGGGCACTGAGAGCTCAGCAGCTCTGAACTCAAGCATACAAATGCATACACATGTAAATACGTGCACACTCGCAGTACGTTAAGCTCAGAAGGGCCATCACAATGAGTAAATGCTCACAGACCATCTCCTATTCCCTGTTAAAAATGATATTCACAGTACAGAGTAAACACTGTTCAAGCAGTAAGTACTGTTGAACACCAAATTAAGCCCATATTTTAAAAGGCTGAAAACTTTAACAAATTACTTGCTCACAAGCAGAAGATGCAGGCATGAAGTTGGTATCTCTTCCAAACCTCTTTCAGCATTCGATGGATCAAATTCAGCTAAAACAAAAAGCAGAACAAGTGTAAGTGTCCTTCTGCAACAGGCCCTTATCCTTTATCTTTCACATCGGTTTCCCTATAAATTTATCATGAGGTTCCTTCCACTAAGCCTTCAGAATTTCTCATCTTTCTCTTCCTAGTGCTTAAAGCGGCAAATTGCTTAGAATGCGTCAGTCTGAAGTACGTGTTCCAGCTCATGCAAGTGCTGTCCATGTAAGCACACACTGCACCCCAAAACGTGGTGCTTCTCGGGGACCAGCTCATCTCAGACTCCTGTATTAAATCCTCCACGACGCGTCTGCCGTGGAATAAAAGTGATATCTCCACACGGCTGAGCGTTTGTCAAGGAGAGGTCCCTAATGCTCAGAGAAAACTGGAGGATGCTAAACACAGTGGAGCATTTGGTTTGTTGGGAAAAGCCTACAGCCTCACAGAACTTGTATAAAAAGGGGGAGAGTGGCCTCTCCTCCTGGGTTCAGTTCCCTTCTTGTCTACAGGGAAGTGAAAGCAGCACCCCCTGGCCACGGAGTCCCGTTCACAGGCCCCGCAGCCCGGCTGGGCCCGGCCCGGGCCCCGCTCCCCCAGGGCCTTTCACAGCCTCTGCAGCAGCCCAGAGCCGCCCGCACAGCCGCTCTTGCGCTCGGTGCCACCTGGGGAGGCCTCCTGGGCATCCCGACTGCAGGACCCAGCACTCCGCTCCACGAGGAAGCCCAGCGCGGCCCCAGCCACAGCACCGCTCCGCAATGAGGGGGCACAAGTCACAAGCTCTCTCCCCCCAGGGGACAGCCAGATCCCAGGAATCCTGCTTCTCCTTCCCTTTTCTCCTCACAGACCCGCCCCCTCTGTCCTCTAGCTCTGGGCAAGAGGCAATAATCGCAACAAGGCGATAAGGGAGAAGCCTCCGCAGAGGCCTGTTCCCTCCATCAGGCCCAGCCTCTCCTGCACCCAACAGCAGGCAGGGCGCAGCGGCACCCAACACACGCAGGCACCGCGGGTGTCCCTGCCCTACCCTTCCTGGCTGCCGTTGAAGCTCTCAGCCCTCGGGCAGGTTTTCTCCACTCATTCTCTGGGAAACGAGCAAGTTCCAGTTTTCACACAGGGGTCAGCCCTGCCGCCCCTGCTGCTAGAAGGACTTTCACCTCCCGCCAGCACGGAGGGCACCGAAGGCTCCGGCCTGGGGAGCTAACGCTGTGTCTGGGCCTCGGGGCTGACGTGAACGGAGGCTTCTCACAAACTTCAGAAACACCTTTTCTTATTCACACAACAAAAATTACTTTCACAAGGGTGGTATTTCAGAATCAATACTGCTTGCTTAAGAACACAGCCAACCCTTCACAGCTTGTGCAGGGTCAGGGAGACAGCAACATAGGAGTCAAAGTCAAGAGCGCTGTGACACCCAGCACCTGAATGTGGAACCCACACAAGCTCCTGACATGCTGTCCTCACCCGTGACACTCCTCGCTCTGGACATCCGCCATCATGGGCGCTGCAGAAAACACATGGAGCAAGGAAGCCACGTCCCACAGCACTCTCAGTACGAAAAGACGCAAACACAGGACGCGAGGGAAAGGAAACATCTGTTTTCCAGGAGAAGCACGGGCAGCCTCCTGTTCACAGCTCACCACGGTCTCTGGTGGAACCACAGAAATTCCTTTGCAACAAAACCATTCCTCTCTTCACAATGACGAGGTACAATATTTGCTTTTTTTCCTAGGAAGGCATCAAAAACCATCTCTCTTGGGGAGCTCAGAACTATGTGGGGAAGACAGGATCAACAGGGAGCTGCTGTGTGCAGGAGGACCTGGCTGACACTTTCAGCAAGACCTTCTTGCCTTGAAACATCTGCGTTTCTAGGCTGAGGGGCTGAGTAAACTCAAGTTCCCCTAAAGTCATTAGGGACCAGGAAGGCTCAACTCCCACTGATCTTCCATAGGAGCAGCCCCATAAATGCAGCCAAAGCAAGAGCACTGGGAGCAAAGGGAGGAAGACAGGGCCTCGTTGCCTTCCAGAAGCAAAACTCTGTAGGGGATATGAGGGACTTTCCTTCCTTCTGAGGAAACCCAAATCCAAATGGAGTCTCTCCTACTTCTCCCCAGCTGGGAACACTCCTGATAATGAGCTACAGACACCTGCCAGAAAAGTGCAGTCGCAGCAGTCACCTGAAGAGCCATTTCTACAGCTTCTTCTGCTCCTCTTGCCTGTGCCTGCCTGTTCACTCTGCCCCTTTTCCATCTGCTGTCAGGGCAACACGTCAGGCTGCCTCTATAACCTGGCTCCTCGCTTACCTGTCCAGCTAAAACACAGTGAGAAGGGCAAGTACAGAGTAAACCTGCGATAAAGAGACTGTAGGAGGCAAACACACAAGCAAATTCCTTTCAAATCCTCCCTGTTTCATAGCTGTAGCACTGCTACACACATATGGCAGAAAACTGTTAGAAGCAGCAGGGAAACGATTCACTCCCTGCTTCCAAACACATAGGAGACATGGAGGTCAGAGATGTGAAAATTTCTGACTAGGAAAAACAGAAACCCAAGCCTAATAATAAAAGGGTTTCTACGATACAGGATCTAGCCAACATGTGCAAGCCACGGGGCTTGTATTTGTTTAGTGTATCTTTTCCAAAAATTAGAGGTCTAGAAATGATTTTTAGTGAAGTTAAAAATGTAATTGAAAAGTAATGAAGGGGAGCACACATTCTGCTTGTTTTCAGCACTGCTTTGACAAACAAAACTGGACCATGCCATACTGCTCCTGTTTTTCCCTTAGTTTTCCCTTTGTATTCACAAATAGAGAGCTGCACATCAGCGATTACAGCTTGGCCAGGTGGTTCACTGGTAGAGTGAAACTGGAACCTAACTTCCAGGCAAAGAGGTAATCTCAACAGAAGTTGTGGTGGGTCAGATACTAGCCATGCAACTGACCTGTACAAGACTTCTGAAAAGATGCAGGCACCAGCAAAGTAAATTTCTGATGATGTCCAGCTCTAGGAAACAGCAGCACGGGGAGTTTCTGGCATCCAGTAGCTACATAGACTAAATCCTACTGAATCCAGGGCTAGCACAAACAACAGGATTGACTAGTCACCAGAGGAGCTCTCAGTGCCCTCACTCTGCATTCTGCACGGAGATGATTTGGGATCAAGACAGAGACAAACAAGTACAACAATTTCTGTGCACAACAATAGGCACAGGTTTTACAGCTTACTACTTAGTGTCTCTCGAAGTGATGAAAAAATGGAAAAATAAGCATGCTGAAGTAAGTTTACACTGCAGGTCATATGGATTTGTCTGGGCAAGACTCTACTGTCTCACTCAGCCTATCCAAGTCAATGCATGGCACTGGTGAAAATCAACTTCTGCACTGCATTGGGGTGAATTTTTTTTTCTTAATCCATCATTTTTCCCCTAGAGGCACTTTCATTGTTCAAGCCATAAGGCAGATTTATTCTATAGCAAGCAAAATGGTTTTAACCAACACTCCCCTGGCACTTTCAGGATGAGTTCAGATTTTCACTTTTGGGAACAGACCACATATGTACAAGTTGTAAAAGGAAATTGTCCTGTATTCTGAGTGCCCAGCACGATTCTTTTAAATACTATTTAAGCATTATTATTTACTCTATAACTACACAATTATTAAGCAGCAAGATAAAGTTGGAGGAAAAACAACTTTAAAAAAGCCTCCTCCCACCAAACACATGCTATATGCACACAGCATACACACCTCCTCTGCCCCAACACATTAATGAGTATGGGCTCATACTAACCAGATTTGCAACGTAATCCAAAACTATTTGGTCAATCTTCTTTTTTCCTACGTACTGGAGATGCCTCATAAGGTGATCCTTTAGCTGAGCGACCATCTAAGAAAAACAAGCAAACAATTCAGAGTCCCTATGCTCTCTTAAAAGATTCAAAAGCTACTAAATAAATATACTACAATCTACCAAAATCAATACTAAGTTAACTTTCAACAGCTCTTAAGAAGAAAAAGCTTAGATGTCTTAGATTTCTTCAAGTCAAACCAAGTTAAACTTGGCAAGTATTACAAGATGTGCTACAGCTTTCCTTACCTTTCTTCTAAAGAGCAGCAGGGAGAAAAGTTTTTAACATGAATGGCAATTGTGAGAGTATAAGTAATTATTATATACAAATGAATGTGGGGCACTTTACTACAATTAACTAGCACAACTGCAACAAAATAACCTGAGTGATTTAATACAGTTTCAAGTTAAATAAAAATATTTAATGAAATATCAGTGTACAGAGTCTTTAAAATCAGCTGTTTATTATGAAAAGGTCTGTACGACTGCCTGACCTGTCTCTCTCTGGAATACTCTCTGACTTCTCTTCCGTTTGTGATGTGGCCCACCTGGCTCCTGACTGAGCAATACTACAAATTGTTACTTGCGTCAAAGTCTGCTGTGATAAAAAAATACCTCTGTCTCAAGCAGTTTCCAAGGAGATTAGTCTCAGTGTGTGAGCAGGGCAATGCAGGGACTGGGAAAGCACAGAGAAAAGTGAGGGAAGATCTGCTTCTTGCTTCCCAGTAAACTGAAGGGAAGCAATGCAGAAGTTCCAGAGGATGAGGGGCAGAATCTGGAAATAAAGAGGCTTTGGACTGCCAGGTCAGTATGGATGGGCCCGTAAGAGATGCAGCATTGAGGCTTTCCAAGGCAAGCTGAAGAGTTTATGTTGGTGATACAATATGTAATAATAATAGACCAAGAGACAAGCCAAGATATGTACTGAAACAGAGGGAGGAGAAGCAGGGGTTTGAGGTTAACATCCAGAAGCATTAGGGTAAGAGATGAAAACACAGGAAATCACTGTGAAAAATGGGGAAAAAAGGCAGTGGTCTCAGAACAGCCCTGGAAGCGAGGTAGAATGGAGAGAGACAGTGAGGTATTAACTGTAGGAGCAGGGCAATATTCCATGATCTTCTCCAAGAGAAGCAGCAAGTAGGGAAATCACCAACACAGGTTATAAGAGCCTAAAATAGCCTAAAAATAACCAGCAAGTTAAAATGAAGTGCAAGAAAGATAGAATAAGTTTCTAGCCACAGAAAAGTTGAATTGGGCAAAGCCACTTTAACAAATAAACCTTTTTCTGCTGTTTTTCTCCTGGGCCTCATGGTATCTTGACCTATTAAGAAGAAAGCCAAGAACTCTGATACTTAGGGAGTACCAGGTTGGTCCCTTTGCTACTCTGAGTGAGCTTGCCCCTCAGCACTGGAACTTATAAACCTAAATCTTTAATTTGCTGAGGCTGTGCGTCCTCTAGTGTGCAGGGCGACCAGAGCACATACCAGTCCCATCAGTAACTGCTGCTGAGAATCCTCCTCCTGGAAGAGAGGGGGGAGCCTTTCCTCTGAAAGAAACAGCAAGAATCATTCAAGGACACGATGCTACAGGAAACACCATGAGACTTCAACCAACTTTAAAAGCACGTAGAAACACACACAAACAACAGCTGTGCTTCACTCACCTGAAGAACTAAGATAGGGACAGAATCAAGGATTGTTTAAGAGAACTCAGGAATGGGACATAATCCTGTAGCTGCCACCTTTTCCCTCAAATGTTTCAACATTATTTTTGCATAAACACCACAAGCCTGTTGCACCATGTCACATTCCATTTGCATGCTCTTTGCTTTCATATTTAAGAGAAGTATCACACTGTAGTAACTTGGTAGAGGAAAGAGGCTAGGGTTACCACCGGGATACACCAGTTCAAACAGCTAGATAGCTTCTCTAAGGATAAAACCCCTCTTCAATGGCCTGGCTGCTTCTGTTATGTTGATTTGCAGGTGTGAAAAAACAACTTTTAACTACATGAAAGAAGAATATAAGAAAAGACATAGCCCAACATGAGCTGAAGTTCAGCACCCTCCATTCCTTACTCAGTGCTTCCTGTCTACTGAGAATGACCTGCTTCATCTTTTAGTATAAAACCATGTCAATATTTTCCAAGACAGAGCACTAAAATTCTTACAAAGTTCTTTCCAACTCTCTTGGTTCAGTTCGAAATATATTTACTTCACCATTTAACATCTCAAAGACTTGCACTGCTCAGTTTTAAAGGACCTGAAGGAGGAGATACAGAAAAGCTACATTATATTGATGCTCATTAGTGGCTGGCACCCATCTGGACATTCCTAAGGAAGAGCAGCAAATCTGACTGATTTATCAATGAGCATCTTTGGAAACAGGCCTGTAGTCTGAACCTGAGGCAGCCCTAAGGGGACAAAACTCAGCAATAACATGGGGTCATCTATACTCGGTCCCAGAAGAAAAAGCCTGGAGAAAAGATGTCTTAGGCAGAGGAAGGTTTAAGGCTTATGTTAAGCTGGAACCTTTAAGAAAAAGTAATAACAAATAAAGGATTCCTAGTCAGTATATGACCCTATCACTACTACCAGAAAGAATGTTTTTCTGTAATTTAATGACCAGTCATCTTCATCCCTCAAACTCTTCCATGCTGAAAATACTCGTGGCAATTCATTTTTCAGCCAAAAACAACTAGATGGAAATATTCTAACAAACCTTCCAGCTAAGGCCTACACAGGCAAAAGTTCTACTTACCGCAGTCCCAAGCGTCCAGATGAGACAACACCCTGGGGTTGGAAACAAAAATCAGCTTGTTTCATAAATACTGCTCTAAAGAATTTCTTTAGGACATCAAAAAGCTTAAACAACCCTTCAGTTTTTAAAAAGCAGAAAGAGAGATCCAAGAACTGTAATTACAACTTCATTTAATAAAATATTAAATAGCATAAAAAGAATTTTATCTGCCTAGGTTGCATAAGAAGGCTTCAGATCTAGCATAAACTCCCTTATGTAGGAAGTCTGAGTATTTCAGATCAAGAGGTAATGATCTTAAGGACTCCAACACTTGATTATCAGCTAGATAACTTTATTCAGAGCCAAGTATCTGATCAGGTATCTAATGAGTCATACTAGAGAACATATTTAAATCTTTCAACACATTTCAAAAACATAAGCAAAGATAAATATAATAGTACCTACTTTTTTGCATTTTCAAAAATATTCCTCAAATACGCTGTGGTTCTTCTTTCCTCTTTCTGAATTGTAAACAAACAAAAATCTCCAAGTGAACAAACAAACCAGAAGGCCAATTAAAATACTTCCTGATGAAAGGCAGAAGAGAAATTAAGTTGATTTTCCCTTTAAATGGAAATAAGCACAGTGGACCTTCAACCAACCTTCCCACCACCTACACGCAGAAGCACCCACACACATCTAAACTGCATGATAATTATAGCTATGTGCAAGCTCTGCTTTTGTTCTGCTTCATTATTTTAAGAGTAAATTTTACAGACAATGACTTTGTAAATAAAATGATTGAAAGTCTTTACACCTCTTACAACTAACTTCCCATTTCTTTATCCCAATTGCATCCTTGACAAATTCAAAACAAACAAAATAATAAGAACAAAATAATAAAAAAGATAATCTTCTATGTTTAGCTGTAAAACCTGAAGAGATCTCATTTAAGAGAGGGCTCTGGAGGCTATTTCAATGAATTGAAACTTACCTCTTCGGAAAGGTTAAGCCATTCCCTCCGCAGGACGTTGTTGTGGTAATGCAGGTGGGGCTCTGCATACTTCACACTTTCCAGGTTTAAGTTCAGTTTATCCCAGAAGCCTTTAGAGTTTTGAACCTGCAAAACATTGTGGGGAAAACATGAATACGATTTGCACAATCATGGAAATATCTAATAAACCTGTCATTAAATGTCTGAAAGGAATGGCAATATCTGTAGCTAGATAACAATATAGTAAGGGGGGAAAAAAAGAACAAAAACAACTGCATTCTTTTTGCAATACTTCTTAAAATTTGTCCTAAATGTTCTTTACATTTAACAGCAGGGTAGGATCTACCTCAAGAGCTGGTGGCTGCAGGGCAGGTACCTGCTACCTTGGCCCTGTTGCAGTCCCTTGGGAGCAATGGGTGCTTTTAAGACCCGCTGTGGATGTTTGGTTTAGGAAGGGAAGAACCAAACTACATCCCACGCCAACCACACTGCCTAGGGCTCCACCAACTCTGAAAAGGTGCCTCAGTCAACCAACTCCACATAAATATTTACAGTAGGTCACATAAATCCCACTCTGGTTTCCTAGTAGCTCTGAGCAGAGAAACGTTCCGACCCTGGCAGCTGCAGGCTAGCAGTATTTTCAAGCTGCATTAATACTTCCACTGCAAACATCCATTGGCCAACCACAGACTCTCAACCCAGAAAAGAAATATAATCCAAACATTCCCACAGCAGTTCTAAAACCTTTGACTCCAGCACTGAAAGTGATTTAAACCCAGCTGTGAACAGACAGGAGGAAACAAACAAACACGCACTGGTTTCCTGAGCCAGTTCCTAGGCTGGCTAGAGAGATTTAAGGCCACTGACCATGAAGGGGTGATGAAAACATGGTACTTGCCCTTCCCTTCCCTACCCATCTACCTTTCCAGCAGAGATACTGCAGTAGAAACATGAGCAGGCAGAGAGCTTAGATTCACAATACTCCCCTTACTTGTTATATGCTGGATTTTTCAGAAAAGAAGGGGAAGGAAGGCAATGGCAATAAATTTAGAAGAAAACTCCAGACATCCTTAGCGCATTTCCTACTCGAGACTACCACTTGCCCGTGGAAGCAGCGTGCAGGGACCCTCTGCTGCCAGCCACGTCCCCCTCGCTGCCAGGGCTGATTCCTGCTTTAGTGTTGCGGCTGCAGCAGGAAAGTAAATGCATTTTTTGCTGCAGGCTAGTTATACGTTGCAGCTGGAAACTAGAAGGACATACAGCACCATATGTTCATCCTGCTGGGGCTGATTAACAAGATCTATGGCGGATTACCACAGCGTTGCATAAATGTTACAATTGGAAGCTAGTGGGGAAAAAAAAAAAAACAAAAAACAAAAAAACAAAGACTAGAGAGTAAGGGTATCATCTAGTGACCAGTTTGTGCAACTGCCACAGCACTACCACTACAAAGATGCACTTGGGCCACACACAAGTTTGATTGATGGTAGGGGGATGTAGAAGAGCAAGTTTCTTTCCTATGTTGTCTCTGCCAGGAAGGGGCAGACTGTCAGGAATTAAAAGCAGATGTCACTGAAGATCTGCACTGTCTTTAGGTGTTATAAAAATTAAAAAACTGAAAATAAAGGAGTATTGTAATTAAATCTGTGATCTTCCGGGCAAAGATTTGAGAGACAAGACTCCTTCACACGGTCTGCAGTGGTGCTAATTTTGCAGACCTTTCTGGACTGTGAGGAATTAACTCCCGAGTGTGGCAGGCCCAGCAGGCAGGCAAGGCTGCCGGCTCGCGGTGCAGCACGAGCTCCCGAGAGCCCTCCCTGGGCTCTGGCGTTCCCAGCGCGGCCAGGGAGCGCTCCCGGAGCCAGCAGGGATGCGCAGGGATTGGAGAAAGCTTCTCGGGTGAGCAACTTGCTGCCTTTTTGGTGAAATACCGTAAAATCTGATGCAACAGAAATAACACACACAGGACCAGATTCTTCACCAGAGCCTGAATGCAACACGAGACCAAACACCAACTGAAAGTTGGAAGTTAAAGCTCTGTGTGCTTGGAATGGTACAGAGCACCCACAGCAGCAAACCCTGGGTATTTATATCTGTCCTCACCAGACAGCTAGAGCAATCTGCAGTCAAAAGTAGCAGGAAATAGGTGTCTTTAGCTCAACTCTGACCTTTTTGGTCTGTTTAGGTTTCAGACAGAAATAGGAAATGAGTTCCACAATCAGGAAGTATAGCTGTTAAAGGCATGTGCCCCCAGGGATTTGAGGTTCAATCTCAGACAAATTAAAGGCCTGCTAACTTTGACCCTGGTGAATTACATGGATTATCTGGCAACACAATTCCAAGCCCAGATTTTCCCAGGTGTCTCATCTCCCAGGGCAGCCTCCCCAAGCAAAGCACGCAAGGCTCAACTCACAGATCACAGCTATGAGAAGCACTACGGCTGCAAGGGAACTGCAGAAGGGCAAGGGGACAGGGGGCAACGTCACCAGTTTTAAGAGGTTTTGTCAGAACCCAAGTTTTGTGAGCCAGCTCTAAGGACTCAGGGGAAAACAGGCTCCCACCTCACTGAAGTTCCACACAGCACAATGTTCTCACGTATCAAGAGCGTGCACCCAGAGGGATCAAGAGATCATGTGTGGGTAGCCCTGGGAAAATGTGAAGTGTTTTCCTAAATTGCAGACAGTAGAGGAAGGGAAAAGGAAGATGGGAAGAATCATTCATCTTGTTTTCAATGGAAAGTACAGAGCTTCCTAGCCAAACAGCATGTGCTCCTCCCCATGCAGCTTACTGCCTTTTCCAGGCTGCACAGGAATGTGTCTAGATTTAGGTAGCCAAATCCCTGACATCAGTGCAATCACAGGATGCTCTGGACAAAACAAAGGGAGGGTCATGAACCACAAGCACCAAGGGGAGCACAATGAAATCTGCCTCAAGCCATTCCCACCAAAGTGGAAATGTGCACTGAGAAATTCCATACATCTTTTGTGCCAAGATGTTTACCTGCAACTAGCAAAGTCACAAAGCGACGAGGAATCAATCCAGTCTGGAAAGAATTAATTATTGGAGAGGGCCTTCTCCAGAGGGAAGGAGAGACTGAAGAAGTCTCTTAAGGAAGAAAAACAAACAAACAAACAAACAAACAAAAAAACAAACAAAAAAAAACCACACACACACATTTTGACCTAGCAAACATCAGTCAGGAAGACTGATATTTTATGGAAAGGGCCACAACATTTACAACAGGGCAATTTTCTGTTCACCTGTATTTTTGGACAGGGCCGTGCACCCCAATACTGTACTACTATGTAGTTTTTAAAAGTAAAAACAAAGCTCCTACCTGTAAGCATGACCATATTTTTCTAGAGAAACTCACCTCTAATATAGGAAGAGAAATAATGTCTGTCGTACATGTTACTCCAGGGATTACCTATAAATACATACAAACATTAAGAACGTAATTCACTTGTCATTAAACAGAGCCTATTCGAGTATCTAAATGAATTTCTGTTACCAGTTTCCTTTGGGAAATAATCTAGCTAATCCAAACTGTACATTCAGTTTTGCTGAAGAGAAAGAAGGCATTTTTTTCTCATTGATCCCATTTAGAAAAAGATAACATTAGAACATGGTAAGTTACAAAAGTTCAAATTTGCTATTTGGTAAATGGTAAATGTCTTAAAATTATTATGCTTCTGCAAACTTACTCATAAACCTTCAGTCTCTCAAAACTGTTTGCCTTGGAAATAACTGTTGGTTACTGGCTTTGTATCCATTACAAATATCGTACAATAGGCAAGTAGTGTCTTGTTCCAAACTCCAGCAAATTAATCATCCTTTACATTACAGAAACTACAATAAAACTACAGTAACATTTTATAAATGAAGTTATCTGAGGAAATTAGGGCCTGTGAAAGACACTACTAATATTAAGACTCAACAAAATAAAATTGACATAAAGCACAAATATGGATTTAGAACATATCTGAGAAGAGATGACGTATACAATCAAGTCACATGGCAGGTTTTACTAAAGGAAAACAGACTCTCTCCAGTTGTTAATGGAAGCACCAGTTGTCCTCTTACCCCAGTCCAGTCAAGCAGGGATGTGTATGGCAGAAGTTTATCCAGATTGCACATTTCTGGGCACATTCTGCAGTACAGGGAGGCTGTAAAAACATTGAGAAGGGCAGAAGAACATTGAGATACATAAACTTATCTGTTATCGAGAACGCGCTTTACAGTGTGTTCCGTGTCTGTCTAACACTTGTTTAGGGACAAATTCTGGTGCCGACTCCGGAGCAGCTTCCCCCACGGTGGAACCAGTCCCGTTCTGTGCACGAAGGGGGAAGGGGAAGCGCAGCCAAGTCAGCCCGCACGGGTCCCACCCAGGACACGCACCGGCTGTGCGGGGAATCGCTCGGCACAGCTTGTCCTGCTGTGCCAAAGCACCACGACAAAACACTCCAGGCTGGGCTACACCAGATTTGTTACTCCTTTCCAAGCGCAGTTATTTACATCCCAGATACCCAACCAGTGCAAGGCAGAGAATTTGCTCCTCAATGACCTAAAAAATGAAAACAACTATTTGTCCCAGTAGACAAAAGCCTGCGTTTGGGGAGTTCTGCAGCCATTCTGATGTATGTATCTCCCAAACTACTGACATTGACACATGAAGATCTATTAATACAGATTATAATCAAAATGTTAGGGAAAAAGAGTCATTTTGTGGCTTCTCCTTAAATTCCAAGTTAGCCATTCTACCCTAGTATGAAGGAAAAAAAATACCTACCAATGATAAATTCTTGAATGGGGTCAAAACTATGGCATGTTGACAGGTTCTCAGAAATCCACCAAATAATCTGTAAGAATGAAAACAGGGTCATTTGTCACATCTCTCTGCTTAAGCCTGTGCTGTAAGAGACTGGAAACAGGTCACAGGAACCTTGATTCAGATCCCTGATTTTGCAAGGAGCTATATGGGATAACATTTTCAGAACAGCTTTGGCCAATAAAGCACTTTGGGCAGCCCAGCTGACAGGTCTTGTGATACTACCAAAAGGCACATGTGGATCAGAATTACTTCTGTGTGGTACCATCCCCTGACCCCACTCTGCATGAGATGTCAGCCAAGGAACCCGGAGCAGGCTCTCTTCCCACCTGCCTTTCCAAGTCTGCTGTGCTCCCAGCGCAGAGCAGAGCGCAGTGCAGGGCTGCCAGCCGCTCGCTGTCCCGCCGGCTGCTCCGCAGGAACCGCAGCAAGGCACCGCTGCTGATGCTCACGGCGTAGAGGCTCCCTGCGCCGCGATCCAGAACAGTCGACACCAGCGGGGACTGGATGGAGCAGTTGGGCAACAGGTCAATTCTTGCATCCTCGCCTGAAGGACACAGGTTTGAGGAGAGAAAGGCCTCACAAAGTCCAATCTGGCTGCTACCAGCACCGTCTCCTCCCAACACTCCCTAGTCCCCAGCACAAAGAAACAGTTTGCTCCTAGCGCTGCGTGCACTCGTACTGTGCTCAAGAGCAATGTTGTTGGCTGAGGAGAGGGAATAAATAGGTAGCAATGTCCACATGCAATGCAACCCTTCCCTACTCTCGCAGCAGGAAAGCTGCACAGCTCTGAAACCCACAAAATGGAGCAGAACAAATGAGGATATGTAGGACAGGGCAGGGAAGAGCACCAGGCTGCTAATACAGATAAAATAATGGACCTGGCACCTGAGCATGGCTACAGCTTGGAAGTCTCATATTTACAATCACAGCACATCCTTGTATTAGGATGTATTGTGATTTCCCAGGAAGACCAAATACAATTACCAACTAAAGCACTGGATCAAAACCACTTTATTTATTCTAGCACCACACACACCACCACAGCACTATGCTACAGAACTCCAGAGCCTTTGCATCAGAGAGATCAGGGCCACCATGTAATCTCTCCACTCATCTGCAGCAAAATATTTAAGTAAATATACATAAGAACCACATATTTGGTTCCTCAGTGCCCCTGCAGCAGTGACCACCGCTTACCTTTCTCTCACCCAGAAAAAAGGATTTCTGATTTCAAACAAAGACCCTCCAAAAATAATCCATTTCCTATAAAGACATGTTTGTTGGAAATGAAATAATGTGCCTCTCAGATGAGACTCTAAATCAAGTTGCATCAGTCTGATCAGGTGAAGGAAACACATATTTCCTCTCCCCACACCCTCCGAACAGACACATTTAGAGCAACTCAATTGGAGGAAGGAAATGTAAAATCAAATTTACCTCTCCATGAGAAATTTGAGAGCAGCAGAGAACCAGTAAGCATGGGCAAAGTGGGGGAAAGGAAACTGTGAAACCAAGGCAAAGATTTTCAAATTCAGTGAAAACTCTTCTTCCATTTCACAAGTTAGAAGTACATAATGGATGAAGTAAGAAAGGTCACAACCTCTTTTTAAAATGGAAGAGGCAATAACGTGGTTCTTATTTTTCAATCTCTCTTCTAGGGCACACAGTGCAATAAAGCAACTCTTGTGGAAGCTCAACTTTCTTGTAAAGAGATTTGAACAAGTTTTCATCAAAGCAGCAGTACTGTACCTGTCAGAAACAAACTGTAGCACAGGAGATCAGGATGTTGAATATTCAGGAGGTGCAGGAACTGACCAGGCAAATAAGCAGCCACATAATAATCTATTTAAAGAAATAATAGGCAAATTAGTACTTGTTCACTTATTTACTCTAAGAGGTTGTTTCACATGATTCTCATCTTGCCCCATTTTGCTTGGAAGGAATTGATTTTGTCTAGGAAATATAAAAGGACTTAATTAAAAGCAGCTGTTGTGTTGTTAACACAAGAAATACTATAACTATATTTGAGTTTCTAGGGGAAGACTCAAGAGGTTAAAGACACTCAAAACTCACCAACTGATTGCTAGAGTAGAAGCTGAGTGAGTTTCAGAGGCAGTTGCTTACTAACTGTGAAGTATTGCAATACCAAATGCCAAACATAAAAGTTAAGCAAAGAGGAAAAAATACATATATTTCTTCTCATCTTAAAGAAGAATTAACCACTTGTCTCCCTACCAGGGACAGAGAATGACAGTCACACAGCAAAACATCACCAATAACCTACCAAGATTCAAAAAGGCTACTTCCTTCAATTGATGGGTTTCTGCTCTTTCTAGAGAGACTGTGAAGGTTTTGTTGTAACCTGGGGAAAAAATAATAGTATTAAAAAAGAAAAAATCCACCTGTTACAAGTCACGTTACAACTTTATAGCTAAAATTTTCAGCAATGCAAGTTCACCCAAACAGTGACATTTCAGGCTAGTTTATGTGCTTATCTGTGCAGATGGATTTCCTTCACACTAAACAGAGGTGCTGTGCACACTGCAGACCTGCACCCACGCAGCACAGTTTTTAGCATACAAAAACTGGCCACACACTACACAGCCTATGTTCCTGTCTGAAGAAGCTTTCCATTCCTGAGTGAGCTTTTGTGTAAAAATACCTCCCCCTCAAAAACCAAAATCCTTTATATGGTTGCACCTCATATTTTGGTGATACTTGAACTGCTTTACAGAACCTCCGATTTGTTTATCTGCTAACCCTGTTGCTCCAACTTAGTTCACCTCAGCTTAAGACACTATCTACTTCCAGACCCACTACACTTGCATGAACTTAGCACCAGCACAGATGTTCTTTTATTCTAGGCTTGCACCAAACTTCTTCCTTTGTCCAGTAAGTAGAGCACAGGCCATCAACCTCTGAAAGAAACTGAAGATTCAGGTAACTGGAGGATAATGACTCATCTCCAAACGCCTGTGATTGCACATGGCATAAGTGCTCTCATGATCTATTTTACTACCTAAAATTGTGTGAAAACACAGAATAAAGACAGATCTATAGTCTATAAGATCCCTAAAGGGAAAAAAAAAAAAAAAGGGGGGGAACTGTGTTTCCTCCACCCATTCAGGTAGACTGGGCTTTGATTCTTGACCCCAACAGAATTTTCATGCTGCGGCAAAAAAGAAACAACAGATTTCCAGGACCAAGAGCAACCCTATAGATAAAAGGGAAACCTAAAAGAAACAGTTTCTTTGACACTGGACAGCGACCAAAACTTGCTAGAGATGCATGGCTATAACTCAGGATACCCAACCATTACTGGCTAATCTGAACTAAGCTAGTGCTAGCGCTGCAGGACACACCAGCTATGTCACCACTTCTGCACTGATGCTACATCAGCCCCCCATCAGGAGGGATTTGCATCCATGTGGAAAAGCAAGTCCTCCTTCCAAGAGTGCAGATGCTACAGCACAGACTGAACTCCTAAGGAGTCACAAAAAAGGGACTTGCTCCTGATATGCTGCTGCCTTTGTGGCAGTAGCACAAATCCAAAAACTCCATATAAAAAATAAAAAAATAAAAACACACATACCCAACCCATTCCATGGTCATTTCAGCTGCAGCTGGTCAAAATCAGCACCGTTTTTACCCTCACTCTCCCCCGATACACACACAGACACACAGGGAGATGCGTGTCCCTCAGCACAGGACGCATCTGAGGAAGTCGGCCCTTCACTGTGAACCACTGCCGGGTGCTGACACACCCAAACGGCTTCTTCACTGTTTGCTAATGCCCCAAGAACCCAAAAATTCAGTTCCAGCGGCAAAGTAACATGTCAGAGCAGCTCCCAGCGCTGAAGCCCTCAGTCATATTCCTGAGGCACAAAAGCAGAGACCTGAGGCAAAACAGAAGCTTGTTGCCTGCTTGAACACAGCTTCTCCATTCTGTGCATCTTCTTACTGAGAAATAAGTCATCTCCCTCCTCCATTTAACAAATTAAAGATATTTTGCAAATATCTCTGGTCAAGAGGAAACGATGCTTCACTCATTCCAAGAAAATAAACAGAGCCTGAAACTAAGAGCTAGGACACCACTTGCACACACTATTCTTCAAGTCAGTGGGTGCTGCACATGTGAAGAGGAAGCGCTGAACTGAACTCCACACACATGTTCAGGCTAAGAGCTGCTGCTTCATTTCTTAGGCACCGAGTCCTTAGGCCTAAGTACAGCAAACCTGCAGCTCCCACAGCTTTCACTGATGCTGCGTGCGCTCAGCATGTCGCAAAGACCGCCTAGAAATACCACCTAGACCCGTTAAGTGTCATCATGAAGCCACTGGCTTGAAACAACTTGTTGAGCAAGTCTGCAGGCAGAAGGTCAATTCAGCAGCCACATGCAGCCACCAGCTTTAAAACACCAGCCCCAGCAGTTTACATTGTCCACAGCCTGAGGCAGCTTCCTGTTTTGCCAAGCAATTTGTGACTTCCCAAAGTTACCCCCCAAAACAAAGCAAGTTAACTGATGGGGATAATCTTACCTTTATGTAAGAAATATATGGAGTATGTTATTTCATCAGGAGTATCAGAGACTGGACTGCAACACACGCACAAGCCTCCTAAAAAAAACAAAAAGGATGGAAAATTGTCTTGTGCGTTTGACTTGTAGACATGGACACCTTCGTGCTGCAAAACCAAAGCAAGACTGTTACAGATTAGAAACAAATAACAATAATCTCTCAAAAAAGGCCAAAATATGGAAATACATGTTATGTATTTCTTTAACTATCCCCTACCTAGTGATGCACAGAGTGGGAGAACAGAGGAGAGGATGTGTCCCTCTGGGTAATGCCATTCTGGGCTCCGGCAGAGCCAGTTGTTCTGCTGTACAAAACTACATTTGCAGCCCTTGCCCACAGACCTCAGGCTTGTAGTCAAAAAATCATCAGGACTGTCTCTCCTCAGCTTACCTCAAGATACTTTCTGTTAAAGGACTATAAAATATCTATAGAACAACATAGTAAAATGCAAAGTTTTTTGGCTTTCTAAATAATCAATTCATATCAGCAGCAGCTTGATAGGCTATTAGAGCTTTCTCATACTAGAAATTCCTTCTATCTCCTTCTGCACTCTCCAGTCCAAACAGCCAAAATTTCTTTTTTTAAGGAGAAAAGACAGTCCTTGTAACAAGCCTATTTCAAATGAGGTACTTCAGGCAGGGATGCTCTTCCCTCCTCATTCTAAATCATAGTGATAGACTACTTTGATTATCTCTTATTAAAAAACAAAACAAAACACCATACTTGAAACCACTTCCATGTCTTGGCAAGCTGCTTTGGCACTCATGTTAGAAAGGGCTTCCAAAGCACATTCTCCTAACACAGTTGGGAGAACTGAACAACAACTATAGTCATTCACTTCTTCTAAGTGATGAACTTTTAGCAAAGATAAAAGCACTGCTAATGAAAGTATTCTTCTGTAAAAAAATAAAGGTTCATATATAGCAAGTATACAGAAAACATAGTACTGTATACAAAGCGTACAGGGAGGGGAAAAAAAGCTCAAGTACAAAAGCACAATTAAAAGATATTTTATTTAGTTAAATGTCTAGTACTTCAGACCACAAGGCTGCACCATAGCTGTGACACAAATCTGACCAAGGCACCTCACACTTGGTCAGGTGAGAAGGGAAGGTAAAGAATTTTCTGAGATTTTTTTTTCTGCTTATTTTCACCAGGTTGAACATTGATGGGAAGCCTGATACAGTTTTCCTTGGATGTTTAAATTATTTAGAGAACAGATGGGCATGTTGCCAGAGCTCCGGGCATCTTTCAGAGCATGCATAATTTTTAAAGTAGCAGCATCAAGACTCAGCAGGGAGACTGGACTGGATCCAGCAAACCCACGATGCTGTTCTATTACCAACAGCTCTGCTCTGACACTACAAATTTCTTCCTTGCAAGCTGGAGGATAAAGCGTATGCTGTCCCATAAATTGCACAACATGCAAGTGAACGCAAGGGAATCTATTTAGCTTAAGGTATCGGGGGGTTATATGCAAAGTGATCACAAAAAGCAGTGGCTCTGGGGACTACCGATGAGATGCATGCACTTCCACCCCTAGGATACTGGTCAAAACATTAACAACCTGAATTACAAATGATAGGTAGTATAATTAAATGGTGCTTCACTAACACAAATAAAAGGAGAATGGCAGTCAGATCAGCAAGTGCCCATGAGGCACCATTACAGCTAATACTGTCTTGGCAGTCACAGAGTTGCCACTGAAAATGTAACAGAAGTTTGAACTAGGCGCTAGAATATGAGAACAGAGATACATGTAGATATGCTTGCCTTTTCAGGAATTAAAATTCCTTTTCAGGAACTAAAAACAGTGTAGAGAGGCAGGAAAAGGCAACATATAAAAATCAAGTTCTAACTGTGTAGAATATAAGTTTCTATATTCAGCAGAGATAGCAATTAGAACTCTGCCACTTGGTAAATAAACAGCAGGCCACAGAAGTTTTTGAGAGTCATTAGTACAGACATGAAGACACAAAGACTTTGTTAGAAAACTTAAGTGCAGCCCCACAACTTCTCTTCACTTAAAACCCGAAACACGAAGCTCCAACGCATGTCAATGTGGCACCGAGCGTCCTGCACTCACACGTGCAGCTGCATTAGAGCAGCTTGCTGCTGGAACACACTCAGGAGAGACTTGTCTCGCCTAACCTCAGTCATCCAAACATCACCAGTTTAGGCTCCTTCTACGGCAAATGAAGGAAAACAGAAGGAAGCAATCATCCTCTGGAGAGGCTTATTTCTCTCTATAAATGTAGTCCAGGCACTTAACTTTTACGTGGATAAAATTAGGTGAGGGTAATCCAGGATTTATACTGTCTTACTGTCCCTCTTTTTCTGAAAATCCAGTAAGTTTCACAGAAAAGTACTTCTAAAGCATCAAAAGAAAACACAACCACAAATAACCAAGTGCTGAACATACACAGTCACTTCCAAGATTAGAACTGCATGATCTCAGCTAATCTCTCAGAGTACATTAGCATTTTTATTTGTAGACATTTTGTCTTGGTTGTGCTGAACATGAGCAACAGGGCTACTTTGCTTCTATTATGGAAATTCAAGAAAGAGAGTGATTTCACCCTGAGTTCAGATTGGCTGTAGCTAGTAACAGTTTATTGACTAGGGAATTGCATGGAATATTCCATTGGGAATTTATTCCAATTATTCTTTGCAAAAGATGGCTTAATGGAACAAATAGCAACATAAATATTAATAGTCATTACTACTAATACTTACTACTTGTTGTTAATAGCATGATAGGTTCTACAGGGAATTTAACCACTGTATTGCCAGATTGCAAAAGAATATTTTACTTCAGGGTAATTGGTCAACAGTCTGGTGAGAGGAAGACAGAAACTCTCCCTAGGGTAAAAGCAGGTGCCTGAGTGTGGACAAACCCTGGAGAGTGCAAGTGCAGAAGGAAACACGTATGCGCAAGTTAATAACATTTTCCATTACTGGACAGGTAGCTTGTATATGAAAGGCATCTAAAAAATATCGTCTTAAAAGCAGAGACTAAAAATAGCCCAGTCAACATTCTGGTAGACTGAAACTTGACTGTTTCTTATTTCTATTTTCTTCCCTATAAACTTTATAAAGTGCTGCCTGTGTTTGTAAAGAAAAAAAAAAGGGTAAAGAAACTCTATTTTACTTGATTTACATCAATGGTCACTCCAGTATAACTGGCAAATATCTCAGCAATTCACCCCTGTGCATAGGGAAGCCCTTAAATGAGATGCTAAGCCACTTTTGCAATGTATCTTACTCCGTGCCATTCTGCAGCCTATTCAAAGGCTAATCAGCTCCATTGCTGCCTGGTCGCATGGCCAATTGGGAAGGTGAAACTGCAGCTCTCTGAGATGACTGGCTGTCTCATGAGGCTAGTTTTCAAATCAGAAAAAGTCTGTGCTCTGCATTAGGATGAAGGAAGATTCCTAAACCCTAACGGTTTAAGTAACACCTAGCAACTTATACTTACTAAAACAATAAATATCATACACTAACTTTAGCGTTATATATATTGAACACTGTCTGTAACACAACTAGTCCCCTTTTTGAATTTACTGCTTTTACAACATATTTTTTGCTTTTTACATCAATGTGGTTCGACACAGCTGTGCTTTAAGAGCACCTGGATTCTGGAAGCAGCACAAAATGTTGCACATGCTTAGCCAGAGAAGCTTCGCATGACGAGTGCATTATATCAGCTCCTGGGCTACCAGTAATGTTCTGGATGACTGTTTGAATGCTAGTGTATAAAGCCCTAGGAAGTCCTGGACATAACAAACAAATAAAAAATAAAATCAATAATAAAAAACTCTCACAACAAAAACCAGAAATAGACTTATCTACTACCACTTCTCCCTCTCCTCACAGAGACCTGTCAAATACACTCTAAAGGAAAAGTCTCACGTTCAAAAAACCACAAAGTATTCAGTGTAGTCTCTTATGAGGAAATTCTTATTATTTGTTATTATACTCTATGACAGTTACATTTGTAAAATATTTTAATATAACAATATTGTATTTATGCATTACCTGCATTACTTGTAAAAACCTGAAGATTCAAAGATTTAGGCACAACCTCCTGGTCTTGACAGTAACCATATCCAAAATTCACAAGTCTACAAGCAAATAAAAGATCACTACATAAATCTTCTCATCCACACTGATTCATCACAAAAGAAAGAAAACACAAGAAAGCGAAAGCAAGTTCTGCCCAGTTTTGGAAATAAAGTCACCTATTACATATGAGAACTGAAATGCTTTGGAGTCCGTCTCTACCACTTATGACTGTAAAGTTGTATTTTAACCTGCAAGCAGGCACACCAACTTCAGTGGAAATAGTGAGAAAAGGACAAAATCCTAACAATGCTCATCTAGAATGTTATACCATGACATTCATTCTCACACTAGCAGGGTTTTAATGGTTTTGTATATCTTTAAATCTACAAGTGCTGGGTTTTTTTCCATGCAGAACATGCAACAGAAGGTTGTACTCAATCTGCTTTGGGTTCCCCCCTCAGTCTCCAAGAAAAGATTTCACTTTTACAGGGTTTTTTCCTACCTTCTTTGTCAAGAATCCTGAGGGGAAGAAAATACATATATAAGGTAACGAAGCTCCTACAAGTGCTGGGTTTTTTTTCCCCATATCAGCAATAACAGGACACACTGCCCATTTAGAGCACCTGCACGTTCAGCACCACCACACTGAGCTTTCTGCATTAGTACTGAGGGATCCTGGGGACAGGATGCAGCTCACCAACTTTCAGATGGTGATACCTGAACGAGCAGCTTTGGCCTCCCTCTGTGTTTAATGAATAGAAAATGGACACCTTAGAATTAAAGTTCAAGTGAAGATAGATGAAAATGAGATTAGTTATGAGTGTAAGAGTATCCTGACTAGATCTTCCTCAGTTACAAGGGAGCCTTAGGGAGACGAGCTCAGATGCAGCACATCTGAGCAAGCTCAAGTGCACAGCAGGCACAGACAAAACCCAATGAAATTCCCCCTGGAAAGTGCAGCAAACAACATGCTGAAGAAAAGGAGCATAGTGGGCAGGAACAATCTAGGGGTCTGGTTAACTGTCTGCTAAAACGTGCAACAGCAACGAAAAATAGAGGGCTTCTCTTGACAGTAACAGAGCAGAAATTTAGCAGCCACCACTACAGATTAATCACTGCACAGTCATGACAGCACAGGAGACAAGCAAATTTCCTTACTTTGGTAAGTAAGGTGAAGAGAAGGATAGTTTAACATAGTTTAACCTGTAACTAGTTCTTAGCCAAATCATTTTCAAAAATGACACCCAGAAAGTAGTCAAGGATTCAGCTAAGTTTTACAGCTGACCCTGATGAAAGTGAGAGGAACTAGAGATGGAGAGTGCTTAAATTAGTCTTATATTTCAGTCCCGCACAGGCAAATCCAAAGTGTTTCTGACTTAAACTGTACTGAAGTTTATAAAAAGTTAGACTATGCATTAGAGGCAACCCAACAAAATATACCCCTGCACACACAAAAACTTACTTTAATTCCATGTCATGTACAGAAATATCCAGGTGTGATTCCAGCTGTTAACCCCAAAACAGAATATACCTATGTTATTCAGTGAGGCAGAATCCTATGGCTAATATTTCATTCAGTAAAACGTGTAACACACATATTTCACCAGATTGAACATTTTAAAACAGAAAGGTAAAGCTTATCTGTCATCCTGTAATCCTTACAGCCTCCCCCAAACCATTAAATAGTTACTACTTTTTTGCTTGTTTAAAAATATATAAACAAGAATAATTGTGGGATGTTTAGCCTCTTGCATTAAAATAAATTTCAGTCACTAGGAAAAAAACTAGCACAATTATATGCTCATGCTCACAATTACAGTTGTAATTTACATGTTCCATTGGATTTCTTGCCAATATACACTTGGCTGCCTTACTTAAAAGTGGTACAAAAGTAGCCTGTGATTTCTTTATCTGGTGATTTTGATAACCCTGCTTTTAAGTACTTAAAGTGTATAAGATCAGGGTAACATCATGAACTTACAGGTGAGAATGTGTACAATTCCACTGAAGCTACCTTACTGTAACTCAATATGATATATTCTTGAAAAAAATATAAATATATATAAAAAAAACAGAAGACAAAAAAAAAGGGGCACAAAAAAAAAAACCCCACCACATCCCACCACATTCCCTCTGCAAAAAGTTCCTTCCCATAATAAAAAAGAACAAAATATCTCAGTATAACTGCTTGGAACACAATTACATCCATCTCAACATCATCATATAATGTAGTACTAATGACTTACTATTGAGTTAAAATTTTCATCAGGATAAAACTGGACACATTTTAAAGTATTCCTTGATTCCTAGAATTAAGAGAATGTTTTATAATTAATGAAATATAATGCATATCACACAGACTGAGAAGTGACTAGATCCCCCAGTCCTCTACACAGCCAACGCACTTCACTAACAAATGTGCAGCAAGGGAACAAAAGACAAATTAAAAACCACATATAACCCCCCACAATAGCAGCATGACATACTTCCTTCCTGCCCCAGATCGTTATCTGGCAGTCATCGGTAATTGCGTGGGCTCTCCCTTGAAGCCCAGCGTTGCATGTGTCTCTCATGCACACACGCACACGAAAATATTCTAGAAGTCTAAAAATGTTTTCTGGAACTCTATCTTACTTCAGTCTGTTCATAAGGGGCATCTCGGAAAGAAAAAGCAGGAATCCATTCTCCCTTGCAGTTTCTACTTCCTAATAGCCACCCGAAATAAATGAGCGTACAGAGGTGAGGGAAGCTGATTTTCATTTTTATGCAGAATACAGCAAATGCAGATAGTCTCTTAGGGTGAGAAGAACAGAGGGAGGGATGAACACTCCTAGCCCAGAACTTGCCCTCAGTTGGTGCACTCAGTGCATCTGTATACAATTTACACTCCCTAGAACACAGACAATATACTCATGCCAGTTTTTCATACATTTAGATCACTTTGAATAAGAAAAGCTTTTTTAAAGGCAAAAAGAAAAGAAAGTCCTCATAACCCACCCTCTATTACAGGAAGCACCAAAACTACCAGTTCTCTTGCAATTCCTAATGCACTGACAGCAGTAAAGCCAGTCTGGCTCTTGGTTTGGGTTAGCTCAGGTATTAACAGACAGATTGCTACAATGAAACTCAAAGCCACAGCACTATTACCACACATGCTCTGAACTTTCCCATCATGAGACACACAAGGACAGAACCCCTAACGTGACTTTCACCTCACCTTTGGAGCAATGTAGAAGAGTCTCTGCTCCACCATATCCCACTGGGCCCAAATGAGATCGTCTGCAACTCTGGCTCTTGCGAGTTGACCCGAGTTTCGAATCACCTAAAGGGAAAAGTAAAAGGACCAAGTGTTAAAATTCAAATAAGGTTTTGGAATGACAATTATGTAGTTTCAAATTTGCAGAATGGCTTAAATAAACTTCTGAGAGATGTAGGGATGTTTTGCGCCATGCCAACACAGACCAATTCTATTTAAGAGGACATGATCTCATTCTTCGGTTGCACTGATCCTCTTTATTCCCCTACTGCAGACCACTTCATAAAACCCACCTGCTTTACAAACAACCAAACACTTCAAGAAAAAGAGATGAAAAGACTTCAAGTGTCTAAAAATCAGGACCATAGCCTTTCAAACCTACATTTATTTGCATAAACTGAAACACTGTCCTTTATGACACAATTTTTTATTACATTAGACATATGCTTAACAAAAAGAAGCATTTTAAGTAGAACATTCAAAATAAATTTGTGAAGTGGAATTATGTGAGACACGCTGTATTGCAGAAGGCAGAGTTAGAAAGGTTACTTAATTCTGTGGATATTTTTGAATGCTTTAAAAATAAGCGTACGCTGTGTTTTCTCCTAACTTCTAAAAGTGTTTTTGACCTAGGCACGTTTTAAGGCAAAGAAAACGATAATCTAGGAGGAAAGTCACTTGCTTTACATGATACACAAGTTTTTAGAACAACTTTAAGTTGTGTAAAAGCCATACTATCAATATTTTAATATATGTCTGAGTATAAAGTTACAAAAACAGTTAACATTACAGAAGATGGGTATTTCTAACTTTTCAGATAAAACATAAACCTTCGAAACCCAAGATTTTTTAAAGTCTTACCACTTTGTGATCTTCTTCAACAACATGGATGTTGAATTGTTCAATATCTTTAAAACAAAAAAATACATACATACTGCTTTTAAAACTATACATTTATTATGCCTGACCTCCCAGAGTGCTATAAAAGCACACTAAACCCAGCAAAATCAACCCAGTATACAAGGAAATATATGTGATGTATTAATGCAAGTGCCTATTCGAGCACTTCTCCTTTCCCGAAAGAGGGAGGCCTACTAGGAACGGTCCCCTTGTCCAGCAGCGTCAGGAAAGGCACCAACAGAAACACTGAAGCAAGTCAAGGTGCTTGCTTGCAGTGAAAGAGCCTGCAGAGCTTTGTGCTAATGATACAGACTACACCTTAGTCATGTTCCACCTCCTAGCACAAGTAAGACCTCGCAATCCCTGACAAGGCAAAACCCCTAGAAGTTTTTGGTAGCTTACCTATGTTCGGGGTGCAAAATTTGCCTAAGATGTTACAAATGGCACTGATTGAAACAAAATTTTAATGGACTACTGAGATGAAAACTCTGCCCACCTAATTCCAAATAACTGAAAGTTGGCTTCTAGCTGAGCAGAAAAGATAGGTCTCTTCAAAGATGGGAAGAATGATCTTAGGTGATAAGAGCTAAAGGCAAGAGGATTAAACTACCTTTTGCAAGTGTCCACCTCCACACTCACTCTTGAATATTCAAAGTCCTATGAATCCAAGGAACTTTTGTCCTATTCTTATCTCACTTGGCATGCTGCTAAATCAGAATCCATTTGTCAATAATCAATTGACCTGCTCTGTATTTATAAGGTAGCTATAGAAATCTAATTTAGTTTTATTAAAAATTCAGAAGGCTGACTAATGAATCCACGAACTATTTACTGTTTTTGCCATAAAAGCTTGCCAAAACTACTTTAAGTAAAAGAATGAAAACATGTTTTCAAAATAACAACTCACATTTATCTTCGGAAGCCAGCAAGAGACGACTCTCTGTAGAAGTACCTCTGTCTTCATCTGGATAAAGAAACTATACAAAAAGTTTTACAATAAAAAAATAGGATTCTGCTTAACAAACTAATCTAGAACATTAACTATCTGTTTACTTAATTGGATATTTACATATTTCTAATAAAGTCAGGCACACTGATGAGATTCAATTAATAACAGTAGCTATTACTACAGAATAGTCATCAATCACTATAAGCAGGCTTAGACAGATCAAAGGAAAATTAAAAAGTAGCCTTCATGTCACAGAAATATTCTACTTTATAAACATTATATGAAGCTTATGTTATTATGTCATATAGATATGTATGATTATATTTACATGGGCAAAATCTCAGTAAAATCAGCTTGCAAAATAACATGAAGTATTTCTGCATTCAAACATCTTTTCCCTTTAATATAGCGACTGGGAAAGGTGTATATTTAGATCAAGTGAATAACTTACCTGTACTCGAACACAACTATCCACAGCCTTTAAGACTCTCACATTATTAATAGGATGAATTTCAATCAGCAAGGTTAAATATTTGGATACTGCAAAAAGAATAAGAGTTTTGTTTTTGAAAGAGAAATTAAAGGACAAAAGCAAAAGTAAGGATATAAGATCTCTACATTTTCAAACAATCCACTTGTAGTACCTGACTGCAGTAGTCGACTTACTCTTTCTTCCTCTGTATATTGTCGGAAACTGACAGCTAAGCAAGAAAGAAAAATATACAGTAAGTGTGCAGATTTGTTATTAATCCTAGTGAACATTTAAAGAGAGCAAACATCAAAAACCTTATCAAAAACATGCACTTTAAGGAAACATCAGCAGCTCCCCTATATAGGGAACATGTATAAGTAGAGGAGGGGATGAGACCTAGGCACACTGGTGATGCACCCACCAAAACATATAGAAAGCTATGAGCAACACCCGGGTCAAAACACACTGAAGCAGTACTAGACCCAAATGTATCAAACTATTAATCACCTTTACCACAGCATCAAGAGAAACAGTGATAAAAAACATATTTACCTAATAATGTCCTTTCACTGTTGACCGAGCAACTGATTATGTGCAGATCTCTCTCAAACATATAGAGGTGCTATTGAGAAAAACATTCATGATGACCAATTATTTTTTAAACTCTATAAAGGAAACCATTTAATGATCCCTCCTTAGGGAAACATGGCTGATCAACATGCTGTTATTTTTCAAACAAACATCACCAAGGCCAGAAATCTTATTTTAAAGGGGCTTTATCACTTCTTTTCCTCATTTGTTCATTTGTTCCCGGTTCTTTCGAGTCTCAGATCTTGCCACTGGATCTGCACAACAGACCTCAACATCAATACAGGATTTCACCTTTTTCATACACTTATGGGCAGGCCTGCAAAGAATCCTACCCACCACGGATCCTGCCACCAAATCACAGCGTGTTCAAGTTTCAAGTTTAGAAGTTTAGATTTTAACTTTTTTTTTAAACATACGGAAGCACCAAATAGAGAGAGGAAAAAAATACTTTTCCTGGACACAGGTCAATGCAAGGAGCAAGGGAAAAGAAAGAGATTGTTAGTTATTCTCAAATAAAGATTGCAGATATGACCCTATGTCATTCAGATGTTCTATAACGCTCTACATCTTAATACCACCAAGTGTCACTGAATGCCTTCTAGGCCTCTGCTCTGCTTAAAACAAACAAATACTTGCTAGAAATATAATACACTGCTTTTACAGCATCCAAGTCTACAGTCCTGAAGCACCATCCTCATCAGGTAGATGTCTGATATTGTTCTCACCTACCTCATTTTGTTTAGTTTGACGATCATACAGTCCAATGTAGGTATTTCTCTGACTTCCCTATAGAGGAAAACATGTAAACAGTGGTAATGTACATAAACACAGAGTTAAACACTGATTCTTATGTCCTACCCCTTCCTTGTGCTCCCTCCCACCCTTTTAACTGACACACATCCACACACACTTCCCTGTGCTGCCATATAAGGAGTTCATTACCCTAATTCCAAGAAAGGGAGGCAAGCAAGGAAATAAAGTGTATTTTTTGTTATTTTTTTAGGAACACATGGGACAAAGCTGAAATGCAGCCAGCCCACTGCCCACAAACTATGTCATAAGCCACGTGCCTCTCTCTCACTTGGCTTATAAACCATTTGCTACGAGGGCAATGTGGCAAGGAAGAAATATCTGTGTACAACAGGAAGCGGGGTGTAATGCTGGTCTCCATGAAGATTTATGGCTAATATCCCAAACCTCTCAGACCCAGCAGGTCAACGCTCTGAAATGGAAGCACAAATATCAACTTGGCTCCCAGGGACATGACTGCAGGCTGGGAAATTATTTCAGCTCTGCTGTAGGAAGCTGTTGTTTGAAGGCTGAACTTTCACAGGCTCAAATGATACCATTAACTTGTTGCCTTTGAAAACAAAAATAACACGCACCCTTTTCAGCTGGTTGATGGTAACATACAATCATTGTTCAAGGTACTTCTATGTCTATATGAATGAAAATATTTCTTAGTGCTGATTTTTAACATGCTGTAAATTTTCAAACTTTTTTTTTGTTTGTTTTAAACTCATTTTCCAGCATATACTGTTTCTGAATTAAAGCTGAAAGTCTTCCCTTACACAAACTCTCAATGTCATGAAATATAACAAATAATCTACAGTACCATGCAATGCTCTAAAACAATCTTGAAAAAGTTCATTCCTCCCTTTCCCCTGATTTCTAACAGAATGCATTTGATTTTTTTTTCTATTTAGCAGAAAAAAAAAAAGAGTTTGCTTCCCATTTGTGTGTATTAGGACAAAAGCCAGTAGGGCTCATTTTAGTTTCTGTCCTTGTTTGTGTACTATCCTCACTAATATCACTGTGAAAGCTGGCTGCTACAAAGTTGAAACGAGTTGATAGGAATAGGTGTGCCTTACAAAAGCAGTAGCTCATTAATTACAAAAAGGTTATAGTAAAGGGGAAGAAAAAACAGAGAGACTGATAGAACTGCTGTTAGCAGTCTATTTTGTTAGAAGCAGTAATTACCATAATACTGATTTCTCCAAAGCACGTTTAGAGAAGCAGAAGGACTAGCTGCAGGCACTTGAAGAAACCTTTTTCCCTCGATAAACTTCAGTGTTATGATGTGCATTAACAGATTAGAATAGCAAAGCACAGAAAATACTTATATTTTAGGACAATTTTTTTTAAGAGTTATTGTCAAACTGGGGCCTAAAGCTACCTGCCATTCCCAAAGATGCATAGATAACAAGCCTCTTTTCCTTTCTGTATAAACTGGCTTGACTACACCTCTTTCAAAAGTTTGCAGGAATAACAGAACTAGATCCACACATTGTTAATGGACTGTTTCAGAAAAGGAAATGTTTGGCTGAATCCTTGTTCTGTAAGTCCATGGTAAAGTGTTAAAACACAATCCTCTCAATATATGGTATAATTTTTGCTGAAGTGGACAAAAGCCTCAAATGAGCTTTGATGCAGACATATAAAAATCTTCTTATCATGCAGGTAAGTAAGCGTGAATATATTGATTCCCACTGACATCAACAGCATCTAAGCAGGTACCTTCACCTGAGGAGCAGAATCTTTACTGAACCACTATGAACTACTTCTCTCCAGAAAACAGATCGTATATTTATTGTAACACCGCCCCAAAACACATTTGTTTGTTGTGAGAACACTCCAGGAAGTATTTTCCAGTTTGCCCACAGCACCCACACCCAGCCAATCACCCACATACGCTTCCAGTATAAGAGAGAAAGGAGGGAGGGAAGGGAGCAAGGGAAGGGAGGAAGAAATGAGAGTCAGCAAGCATCCTTTGTTATAGAGAATCTAGATGTCTAGATGCTCATTCTGCTGCATGCTGACTCACGAACTAGATCAGATACTTCCTAATGGTAAGAGAACAAGAGAAGGTGAGGAAAGAAAAAAAAAAAAAAAAAAAAAAAAAGGCAGCTCTATCTACCTCAAGACGTTATTTGAGAGGCAAAAAGACCACACAGAAGAACTCTGCATTTTGCTCCTTCCAGTTCCCAGGCTTTGTCATCTAGCCACTCCCACCACAGAGGCTGAAGTCACTGGATTCCTAGCACTAGGAAGGGGAAACTCCGATGCACATTTTCATTGACTGCCTATGTGAGCTCTACCCCCAGATTCAGGCAACTGGATTTAGGAGGTTAAAACCCACCAATCCGCAGGGCTAAGCCCACTTCAGCCAATGAACCTAGTGAGCCAGCTGTGCACCCCCTGCTCCACACACCTCCTCCCAGAGCGGGTACGTGGGTCATCCTTCACCCTCACCACGTTTCGAGCAGATCCCCCACCCAACACAACGGGAGCTCAGGCACCCCATACACATGTAGGTACCTATGAGCAAGAGCTAAATCTCACCCGCTGCTTCAGTCCACGAGACCGACCATCGCTCTGGGGAGCTGGGCTCACCTCTCGGAAGCCCCAGATGAGAGCAGAGCGAAGCTCTGTAGGTGCTGGAGAGATGCACCTACGCGACACTACATCTCCTGTTAGCACCTGGGCAGATGACTTCCGAAACTCACATAAGTTTTGAGCAATGCCTAAAACTTCACACACTCTTTAGCATTGCTTTTAGGATTACTGTTGTCTCTTACAGGCTCCCTTTCCTACGTTTGTGCAAAAGGAAACATTCACCCACTGTTGAAGTACAATATCACTTGAAGAAAGGCCTCACTGTTGCCTTAACCCTAAAAGAGCTAGAGTTTTAGTATTGCTGGAGAACTGGAGACAGTCCTATTTCCCTGAAGTTCACTGCTTCAGACTCACAATGTCCAAGAACCCATGATTCAGGTGATCCTCTAGAATCCAGCTGAGTCTACAGATTTCTCCCAGATATACAGAAGAGAACCCCAGCTTGTTTCATGGAGAGGAAACCTTCCCAAATCAGCTGGAAATTTCTTGGAATTACATGACAGTCAACAAAAAACTCTACCACAGAGAGCATAATCCTCTGTCTAAAGAGACTAGCTTCAAGATATTAAATAAGCTAAAGCTACTTCAATGTACTTGCATGTCAAAATACCTATTAGTAGGAATACACATGTTTAATTAAAGCAGTGAGTAGTAACAAATAAATTCTACGTAAGTAGCACCTTCTTTCACTGTGAGAATTTCTCAAGCAAGTCTGTTTATTGAATTGAAGAATGGGCTTGTCCATTTTCCAGAAAAATCAACAGCAAAAATCTTACAGACTTTAGTCAAGTCAGTACCTCACTTTCCATTTCATCATCCTTCTCCTGTGCCTGAAGTAGAGACAGATACTTTCCCACCTGCCCAGGCTATAATCAGTCAGGTTTTTCAAGTTTTAAGTCTCATTAGGAAAAAAAATGCAAGTACAAGGACTCAGTTAAACAGAGACACAGATGTAGTGTTATTCTCTTGTACGTTTTTATTAAGTTCTGAGGCTTACTTACCTTCCAGGTATAAATAATGTTTCCATTTCTTTCAACGTTTACAACATAGAGCGCTGATGAATTCTCAGAAGTATCTGAAATGATACATATTAAAAGGCACAGGATTATGATTTGCGTTAGCTCATCATGCAATTATGCACAATTAAAGCAAATATGCTAAATACTTTCTTTACATACAAAGACCTGCCTATACATGCCAAAAATCACTCCCCTCTTGAAAGGGAAAGACTATTTCTTACACTATCTCTTAATTCCGATAAAATTCAAAATAAAATAGATAAAGCACACAGAAAAACATGTTTTTAAATTAAGCAACACAAGACAAGACATAGTACAGTTCCAAATATGAAGGAAGACATGAATGAAAAAGTAGGGTTAAAAGGAAAATAGGTGATTAGGAAGGTAAGATGAACATCAAATGAACACATCTGGATAAAGATGCACAGAATGAAAAGTAAAGGGAATCACTGAGAGGAGAAATGAACATTCTACTTGACATAAAAAGGCATGCTTTCCTGATGCTGCTTTTCTGTTTTCTAATCACTGCAGTAACCAAAACATTATTTATCTCAGATAGAAAAGTGACTAAGGCACAAAATTTTGTCTTTATGCTTGACAGCTGTATGCTTGATCATAATTTTAAAATAAAGGGAACTTCTGTTTCAATAAATATGAAGAAAAATACTCTCCACAACTCTTGATAATTTAGTCAAGCCTGACCCTATTTACTCTGCAATTATCACAAGGTGCAGATAGGAGGAGGAATATGGGATACTTGGTTTCACAGAGTTGGATATTACAAGCTTGAAGAACTTGTCCAAAGCAAAGGTCTCACAAGAAGCTTCCATGATACTTAACTTCTCTACCACGCTCAAAAGTTCCATGGTCTCACAAGAAGCTTCCATGATACTTCTCTACCACGCTCAAAAGTTCCACGTTACTGAGATGATTTTCATATCACTGATCACGCTGTCATGTCACTGAGATGATTTTCACGTCACTAATCAGTGAGAATATGGAGCAAAAGAGGAAGCATGGATCACCTCCGCCCTCGGAAAGCCCGGCAGTAAAATACTGGGTACAGAATTACAACTTCTTCCTCTCCTCCGTGGCTCAGACCAACCCCCCGTAACTACTCCCAGCTCTGAGGCCACGAGAAATTCTCACACACTACGCAGTGCTTTCAACAGGAAAATAATAACTAACATCTGAAATCATGCACACAAAGACATCATAAGTCCTAAAAATTACTTCTTTCTGTGTGCATGAGGTTGGTTTTTTTCTTTTTTTGGGAGGGGGCGAGGGGGAAGGGGAGGAAAGTTTGTCTTGTTTTTTAAGTTTAGATGAATCTTTACAGATTCCTGGCTTCATGTTTCATTAAAACCAAATCAATGATTTTGCAGTAGTCCAATAAATCATGCACTCCACTGGGTGGGAGAAAAAGCCAATATCCACAGGCAGAAATTGAGATGCAAGGCAGCAATTTTGCTGCCCCTTCCAACCCTAAGTATGCTAAAGCTACAGGATCTGGTACAGTGATTGTACAAAGAGTCTGTGCTACATTTTAAAAGCTTATAACAATTGTCTGTTTTCTACACACAGTAGGCAGCACTATTTTAATATCTCTACGGCATAAATCCCTGACGAAATGATTATTTGTGCAGAATTTCAGAATTTTGTCTTCAGATCCCTCAGTGGAGACAACAACAACAAACAGGTATTCAGCAAATTATCTAGGGTGTGTGAAATAATTTAAAGGATGGATTTGGTAACTAAAGTACTGGCACAGAGCTTCATTCATTAAAAGGGCTCATCCTTTCTGATTTACATCAAACCACCTTCTTATGAAGCTATCTGAGAGCAGCCCTTTAAGGAGGGAGGCTGACTACATTCTCGAGCTAATTAGAAGAAGTCAAAGGACTTGGGGCTCCAAGCTCATCACACGGCACCTCCATCTCCCTCTGCTTGTACGCAGCAGCGATGACAGAACCATCCGCTTCTATTTTCATAGACCAAGGTTTCCACCAGCTTTCGGGAAAGCAGAACCAACCCACCTGCTTTGCCGCTGAGAATAAAACAAAAGAGGGGACAAAAGAGAAACAAAAGAAGGCAGAAAGCCCAAAACACACTGGGGTGATTCTCTTTTTCCGACCACACTCGCGAGCTGTGGTGACCGACCCGCAGCGGCGCGGCAGCCACGGCCCCGTCTAAATTGAGGCACCCTTCGCGAAGATGAAAGCGGAGGCCCTTTCATTACCGGCGTGAGGGAGGAAACGAGCCCAGAAATAAAGCCCTTTCCGAAAGCAACCGGAGCGCGAGGTGCGAACGGCGGCGGAAGCGAGCGACGCGCGGCGCGACAGGAGCTCGTCCGCGTCCCGGAGCCCAGCCCCGCCGCCCGGCCG